GGGCCTACAACACCCGGCATGCCGCGCCGCGCCGCCGTGACATCACAACGAGGGCGTGGCGTCACAGCCGGGCGGGTCGGCAGCCGCGCTCCGGCGGCTCCTAGGCGGCCGTTCTTCGTAGCCCGACCGCGGCCGGAGGGTAGAACGTGTGGAGGGCGAGTAGGAAAGAGAGCTAGCTCCTAGGTGGAGCATGTACAAGTGTGAAGCGCCTCTCCCCCCCAAAAAAGCTTAAGATACTACGAAAACAAGATACAGCGAGGGTATGATAAAGATACAAAAAGGGGGGGGGGGGGGGTGTTGCAAGGTGTTAATCATTTGTGTACTTACGAAGAGCCATGAATTGCAAAGGGCAAGAGATGTGCATGCTCACACACACCAACCAACCCGCACTTTGCTCTCCAGCTGCCATGTTCCACAGAAAGCAAAAACTGCTGGTTAAGCCAAGTTTTACCTTGAGCAGTCATGAAGAAGAGGAGGGTATGAGCAATGCCTTCAAGAGACAGTAAAGTTGTTCTGCTACACTATGCAGCCTGTTCCTCCATGTTGGAGAGAAACAGGAGTAGCAGGGAAAGTCTGAAGTGCAATGGAAAAACATCACCCAGAAAAGAATAAAACTTAAAGTGCACAGCTATCCTTGTCAAAACAGTTTTTGGCAAGTTTTAAGCACCAAAACTGTGCTGTGAGAACTTCAGCATAACAGAAAATCTGCACAGATTGCCCCTTGGAACACTCTTCACCAGCTATAATGCAAGCTTAGAAATGACAAAATTCACACTTCTCCTTAGTTGCATTTATTGTGCATGAACTTCACAGTCACATTTTACTGCTTTTCATAGAAATTATATAAATTGATATACCCAATCACATCAAAACCTGAGTTCTAAAAACAAAAACATTTCTATTCCTTACATGTATATTATAAAATCCTGGCTGCATTTTCAAGAAACAACACTTAAGGAGAACAGTATAGTGTTGGATAGCAGCAAGACCTCCAATATTTATTGTTTTCTGTTAAATGAGACCATCCCCATGTTTGTTGCACCCTAAACAGTTTAGTTATTTCTAAAGTTGTGCCCTAGAACCAAAGTAGGATGGATTAATTTTCTTTTGTTTTTCTTATACTCAGCTACAAGACCACTCCTCATGAGAGCCTTCTTCCCAGTTTAGACTAGTGATTACCCTGTCCCCACAGAGGTATCAGCTTCTAAAATAATTCTTGGTCTACATTGGTAGACAAGATAGTACCCAGAACAGAATGGTTCTTTCACCAGCCTTCCCAATAAATCCATGAAATGGAACCAAAAATTCTTGTTTCTCCAACTTCTAGAAGTCCTTTCTGTCTTCTGCTGCTTTTTACCTCCCCACATACACCATTTTAGCTTTTGAATCAAGACGCTGACTTTTTTTGTAAGTCACGAGCAAGGATGCATGTAACTGATGCATCTTTAACAGGATCTTTAAACCCATTCAACACAAGTTAGTTACTAGGTCAAAGAAAAAACTTTTTGTATTAAGTTAGTTCAGTCAGCAGAGCAGGAATCTTGTTGATTATTAGCTGACAGGCTCCTAGTAATAGGAAAGTCATCAGCCCTTAAGATGCCTCTTCTTACAGGTTTTAAAGCCGGAATTCTGAACAACTGCTCAAATTGCTTATCATGACATGTTTTATACCACACACTTACATGTAATATTTGCATTTCTAGGGCACCCACCGCTTTTTTTTTTTTTTAAATCCTAAATTGGATGCTGAATTTCCCCCCTGGCACAGGCAACAGTTTCACTCCTTTTCTTGACAAAGGAGAAAAGGAGACTGATCTAGAAAGCAAGTATGTACTTTGTACAGGATTATTGAAGTACACCACCTCTAACATTGGAAGTAATGGGACTCAGTGACAGAACACATCTAGTCTCAGCTACAGCACCAGAAACTGAAAAGGCATCCTTTGCAAAGTCAAGTTTTTTCTAGAATACAAATTTGTTTTCTAGAAATACAGAATACTTTAGTAGTTTGAAGCTCAAAGGTTACAGCAGTACAAAATAATAGCGACAACTGAATGAAGCTGAAACCATTACCTCAGGTCCTACTTTACCCTATTAGGAATTAAAAATCCTTGAACCTCCAGAACTTTTTTTCAGAACTGATGATTTGAAGAGAGCCAGTGTCCAGTTGTAACAGGTTTATAGTGCATGCAGAGCTTATCCTTCCAGCTTAATTTCTATTTCAAAATGTGAAAGACGATTGAAGAAGTCATCTGTACAAATCAGTCTGGATACTACATTACCTCATGTTCCCTCCAGAGCTCCAGCAGCAGTTTTCCAAACGCTGTTAAGTTTTGATTTGCTGAGATGTTACTGCCAATAGTCTCTTGCTGAGCAGTGCATTGTGTCGCTGAAGATATTCTATTACATCTCCTTGCTTCTCAACTATCTCTTCTAAACTTGAAGTTTCCCTTGAAATAACAAAAGTGAGTATGGGTTTCAGTAAGTGACAGCAGCTTTCTAACATATGAAATGTTTAAGTATTTGTTAATTAGCTCTGACAAGTTGCTTCCTTGAGTTTTACTTTTGTTGATCTCAACTAACTTTTGAGGGAGGAGGCAATCTACAACACCTTTATGTTTAACATTCATTTTACATGAGAAGGCAGGAAGAGAAAAAAGTTTGGCTAAACTTCATGCCATGTATACATAATCGAGTAATGTATTTCCTGCTAGCCACTTACAGGAAAGTTGTAGTAGTATGAGGGTTCTAACTATTTAACAAACTTAAAAGTTAGTGAGCCAGACAAGATGCTAGAATTATACTAAGAAATCCATGGCACATTTTCCAAATACATTAGGAAGCTTGTTTTAAGCAGGCATAGTATTTTTATTCAGCTGTGGGGATCATAAGCTGTTTAAGACAGAAATTTCTTGATTAACCTGCCATAGCATAGATGATATACTACTATATACAGTGATATTATCTGTCACAATACCATAACAGGATCAGCACCAGTTGTGCTATTTCAGGTCTACAACCTCATGTACAGCTAACCTCCCACTTAAAGTATCTCCAGCTTTCAGACATCCCTCATTTTAACTAGGATAGTAACACTGCAGCATTAAGTAAAGCTGAGTTAATTGAGAAAAATCTGTAAAAAGTACAGAATTTTGTCAAATCTATAATTAGGCCTTTTAAGAATACAGCATGAACAAGTACTGATGCCTGAGCATATTCCAGTCTTCCCTTACACATTATTTTCTCCTAGCTGACTCGGGAATCTGCCCTCTTAGTACATGCACGAGCATTTTGGAGCTTAGAAAGTTGCTCCTCAGCCTTGCAGGATGTCCTGGTTTCAGCTGGGATAGAGTTAACTGTCTTCCTAGTAGCTGGTACAGTGCTATGGTTTGAGTTCAGTATGTGAAGAATGTTGATAACACTGATGTTTTCAGTTGTTGCTCAGTAGTGTTTAGACTATAGTCAAGGATTTTTCAGCTTCTCATGCCCAGCCAGGGCACCTGACCCAAACTGGCCAATGGTGTATTCCATACCATGTGACATCCCATCTAGTTTAGGAACTGGGAAGGGGGGGGGGCAGGGAATCGCCGCTCGGGGACTAGCTGGGGGCCGGTCGGCGGGGGGGGAGCAATTGCCCTGCGCATCATTTGTACATTCCAATCCTTTTATTACTACTGTTGTCATTTTATTAGTGTTATCATTATCATTATTAGTCTCTTCTTTTCTGTTCTATCAAATCGTTCTTGTCTCAACCCAGGAGTTTTACTTCTTTTCCCGATTTTCTCCCCCATCCCACTGGATGGGGGGGAGTGAGTGAGCAGCTGCGTGGTGCTTAGTTGCTGGCTGGGGTTAAACCACGACACAGGATTTTGCCCTTTTCATAGTTCTTAGAAAGTGCTGAGGAGGATAGCTAGAGTGGAAAAAAAGCTTAAATCCAATTAAAAACCTACTGTAGTTAAACTGAAAAAGATAAAGAAAATGAGTTTTGTAGACAGAAAGCTTGCAACTGTAACGAGTAATCTGTACTACCAACTTAAAGCACCAGAAGAGGTCCTGATGAGTAGCTTAGGTTGTAGAGGTCATAATATTCAAAAAACATTCTTATCACCAGGGTCAACTGAAGGGCTGACAGGATTCACTTTTCAATAGACCTTAACTCTCAAGGGAAAGAGAGTCAGAGTTGTATAGAGTTGAATTAAAATAACTGTTTTGCAATCAGTTCTCACAGGAAGTTCGCACTCTTTAATCAAAAATAATCAGAGTCTTTTCCTCAGCTGGTCATTGTTGCAGACTCATTCCCTGGGCACTTGAGAATTTCTCAGGGGAGAAGCTGAATGAGAAAGGAATGAGGTCCACCATGCATTCACCATGGTGTTCCTATCAAGATGGAAATCAGACATTGTATCAAAAGTCAAGACAACTCTAAATCCTTCCTGTATCCTGGATATCTACTTACAAGTTCCATAAAAGCATGTGCATGCTGCATTTGTGACACTAGGGGAAGTGCCAAAGTATTAGTCATCTCCGCACTTCAACTTTTTACTAAGACTCACATAGAGAAGCAAGTAATGCTGTATTAGAAAATTCCTAAATAAATTCTTATATGGAAATCCAAGTTAGTTTTGATGATTGGTTTTTGTTAAGTCATACCAGACTCATTTCAGCAACTGGAAGATGTTCAAGCAGTCAGAAGGTACACAAAGGGCAAACAATCAGTGAGTCTCAGTGCTTGTGAGGTTAATGTTGGATAGCTTCTCTGTCTCACTGAGAACTTCCTTACCTCTTAAGTGCCCCACCCACCTTTAAATTCCTTCCCAAACTGGAAATATATTCCAAATCGCTTGCTGGAATCTCATATCCAACTGCTGGCACAGAACAAAGATGCAAAGTTTTCTTCTTCTTCATCTATGAACTGCCCACAACATATTTCCTTCCCTGAAAGAACTGGTTGAAGCAGCTAGGCTTCTGTAGGCATACTTTAAGTAACAGTATAAGACACCAGTATCTTTCCTCAAACTCCCATATAAAGTCAACTAAACCAGATTCAGCACAGTTATTTATAGCACATTAAAGATTCACGCAACCAGCCGTAAATGGTCAAATAAATTCTGTCCTCATGTTTGAGGATTTCTGTATCACAACAAATTGCCATTACTGTGTAGAAAGTACAAGACTGTGCTGCTTCTCATCTGTGCATGTAAAATGGCAGCCTTAAGCATATAGTTTCTTTCAGAACTATTATTCCCATCTCTGCTTTGGTTGACAGATCTAACATTATATGTAAGTCTACAGAAAGTTGTACAATTATATTAGTCAGTGTTACCTGTATACCATGGCTGAACACAGCACAAGTTTAATACAGAAAATCTTACCTGAATCCAATTTCTGAGGTAATGTGACTAGGGTAGGCATACATCTTTTCTTCTTCAATTATGTCAGGTCTTGGCTTCGCACGATTGAAGTTGCTTATTTTCACTGCAACAAAGTTTTATAAATTAGTTGGAAAGCAACCAAAAAACGTTTATCACCAGGCTCCAAGTTAAAAACGAAAAATATCTGTAACAAATGATTGTAAGATTGCCTTAGGCTAGGAGATGGAAAGACAATAAGAGAATCTGGGGAGTGGAGAGGAAGGAAAGAAAAAGCAGAATTTATCTCTACTTATTTCTGGAATGGCTTTGTTTATAAGTTAGTGGTGGTTTGGTGGGTTGGTTGGTTTGTTTCCTTGGCCCTGCTGCTTAAAAGACCACAGTGAAGACCTGAATGGGTAAGCTTGAACATACTGCTTAACATCTGCAAAGTTTAATCTGTCACCTGAGAGGGTGAAACCTTAGTTGCCTTTGAGAGGGTACTGAGATTCAGTCTCCAAATTCAGGCCATAAATTAAGCAACATGCCATAAAAAAAGTTCTAAAAAGTTTTGATACTAGTATCTAGGTCAGAACTTCTAACTTAAGCTCTTTGATAAATACTATTTATCAAAACTACTACCTGCAATAAAGCAGCAGCTTGTCTGTCTGCTCTAAAACTAGGGCAGACTTGCTACAGAAAGCCATTAACTATTCAATCCAGAGTGGCTCTGCAATCAGCTTCACATTGTGAACCTTGTCATTCCTGGGCATCTGTGAATACAGTTTAAGACTAAATTTAACAGATGTGGGATGGGTGAGGGTGGGAGAAGCTGTAGGCACCCTTTGCATTATTTCTGGAAGGAAGCTGAAAATATTTGAAGCCATTCAATATCAGATCCTGATTCAGGTACCAAGAGATCCAGAGTATGCATTCAAGACTCTGCAGTTAGGGCTGCCTGTGAAGCAATACACCTAATGCCACTAAAAACATTACAGTCTGGCTCTGTGAGAAATCCACACTACAGCAGCAGACAAAGACTGTCCTTAGAAGTAAATAATATGATGGGGCTTATTACAGGCCACCCTGCTGAAACAATCCTAAGATCTTCCAGAGGTTAACTACATTTAGGCTCAAAAGTCAGTTATTTCTATGGTGGTATTCCTCTACAAATAAAGCCATGAAGGAATGGATAAGGAATTCCCAACATGCATTGGTTGTGGGAACATTAGTCTTGTATTCAAGTGATATTAGAAGTATGTAAGAAAGTAATTAAATACATATATTTAGTAAACCTTTTAAAGCTTGACTCCCTATCCTGTCAGTAACAAACTTATAATAGTAAGCTAACACTTAGAGCTGTCTGTATCATACTTCATTCCATTCAAATTTATCTCACTTGAATGACTTATATATTTCAAGTCTGTTATAGGTCAGTCACAGCAATTCCTTGTAGATTTCTGAATCCCTGCCTCTGCATCCTACAGCTATATACACATACACTGCTGAATGGAGATAATTTTAAAAAAGGCAGTAGTACTTCACAGGACACTGGGCATCACAGAATGCATAAGATAACTCCAACAAGCAAGAAGAAATATTTAGAATTACAATCAGGTATTCCATGCCACCACTTTCATTTGTGAGGCAGTAATATTTAAATGAAAATAAGTCAGGTACATGAACCTTCTACAGATAAGCATTTATGCCTCATTCTAGTAAAGAAATAATTATTCCACCATGGAGAAACAATGTACAAATCGGTGCTACCTTCCCTCCAAGAAAGGGGTTGATGATGAGTTGCTAGTGTAAAGCAACCTTCATCTCCCCATTGTTGCTCACTACATTAGTTGACAGCAGATACCACTAGCTGTTAAGATAGTAAGTGCTTGCCTTGGAGAGTGGCACTCTAACCCTGAGCAGAGGCCTGCCCTTAAAACTATCCTACTAAAGAAGCTTCATGCTTCCATCCAGTCACATACTTTGCTGCCTTTGAGAGAAAAAAAGTTATCTGAGTGTCACTATTAATACAGATTCTCAGGCTATTTTCAAAACTGGCCAAATACATACATTTTGCTTCAGTAAAGCTTTAGTTGAATGCTTAAAATGTTAAAAAAAACCCACCATTATGCACAAGAGACAGACACGCATGCAGTCTTGTAGCTTACCTCAACATGTATTGGGATGGAAAACAAGAAAACAAATTACATTACCCACTGGAAAAGGCAACCTAGAATGATTTGAGGTCTTCCTCATCTTGAGGCAAGTGTTAAGTTACATAAAAATTAACCCTAGTTTTGCACACCAACCTTTACAGAATGAAGCTTAGACTGTTGTTTTGGGGCTGCTGAGGAAATAAAGTCGCTGTTGCCAAAAGGAACTGCCTTACTCCTTCCTAGCAGTGCAGCTCTGCCCTCCTTCACCTTGGTTCCAGGACTCACTGGACCCTTCTTCAAGCCTCCTCCAGCTGCAAAGCAAAACATTGCACCCTACAACTTCCTAATTGGTTAATGGATTTCATGGGCACAGGAACTGGCACAGTACAAGCTAGGAAACAAGACCCTTTTGGTGACAAATAAGCAGAAAGATAGTTTGAGAGCTCTTAGGGAAGTCCAGGCTCAGACCTTACTACTACCAATGTCAACTTTCTTGCAGTTGCTTATCCTTTTCTGCCAGGGTAAGGGACACACAGTGTAGCTCTTCAGGCTCCAAGAGGCCTCAGGGTAAAAAATAGCACTTCACTGGAATTCCTGACATTCTATTAAAGTTTTGCAATTTATCTCTTATTTCCTGAGTTTCCCAGGAAAGTAAGTATGCGTATGCAAAGAAGGGATGATCTCCAGCATTCTTGGAATAGTTCTCTAGGACTGCCATGCCTGCGTTCCCTCAGTATTGCCTTTATTCCTCCAGATGACAGTTAGTCTACTTGAGCCATGCTGGTCCATTCACAGGAAAGCCTGACAAGCTACAGCATTCAGGCCTCCACATAGTTGTAAGAGAAGGACGTAGTTTAGAGCTGGGACCTTATTTCTTATTGCATTTTGATTTCAATGTTGTTGCAGGAGTCAAAAATAGATTTTATTTCCTAGATGACCAAGCTACTTGGCAGTATTTCTGTGTCATTACATTACCAAGAACATACCAAAGTTTTCTTCCCTAAAAAAGACATCCTAGATTAATTACTAATTATGAAATTACAAAAGAAGTCAGATTAACACAAGTACTGACTACCATAGAAATGGCTTTTAAGTTTTACACTTCATGCATTCCTGAAGGAGGTATTCTCACTCTCCTTCCTCCTGTTTGTTTAAAAGTGAGGAGCAAACTAAGTTTTGCCCATTGGTTTTGTTCCCCCTGCCCCATCTCCAGAGAAACCAGTGCTACTGAGGCTACTTAGCTAAGGTGTCATCTCCTTGTTGGTATCTGTAAATAATCAGAAAGCAGCATCTCAGAAGCAGGAGTATAAACTAACTCAAGAGCAGGAACTACATGTTATTTAAGCAGACATGGACTTCACAGTAAACACCTCTAGTTTTCTTCAGGCAACAAAAATAATAGCCTTTTTTAGTATCTTGTACCTTTTCAGTGTTGGCTGGTTTGTTTTTTCAACCCAGTTATTTTCATTTGAGTTAATGCAAGCCATAAACCCAAATAGTTTTTTAAGATGAGATGAGAAAAAACTATTTTGTTCAAGCATTTATTAATCAACATTTTAGGTAGTTCTGCAATAATTTAATGGAAAAAGGTTTATCAAGTCCTGGTAAGTTACACCAAACTTAAAAGCAGATAACCTCACAAGCCAACAGTGACAGTACAAAGCAATGCCTCACAGTTTTATGAAGCAGTATCTTATTTTAGTATTAGCACAGATTCTAAAAGCCATGTTTTTTTGTTCTGTTTTGGGGGTTTTTTGTTTGTTTGGGGATGGTTAGTTGTTTGCTTTTGGTTTTTTGTTTGGTTTTTGTTTTTTTTTAAAAAAAACAAAACACCACATTCATTAGAGGGAATCTTCCATTTTAGTGACAAAGATGAACTGAAGCTTTTGAGGGGGAACAGGGAAAGAGGAAGTGTCTGGACAGTAAGGCACAATTATACTATCAACTATGCAAGTCCCACATGTATATCCCAGAAGCAGTTCTGATTAAGCCAGCTAGCTCTTACGGCTTCACAGCTTGTGGCGTACACATTTGAGAACACACTGCTAAACAGACAAGCCTGTTCACAGTACACTTTTGCAACAGTTATGCATTTATTGCCACTTCACTGGATCAACAGCTTTGAGGTAACATGGAACTTTCATTTAGCAGCACTTGGAGACCAAATCAAGCCTGACAACGTTCCCATTTGTTTTGTATTTGCCTTAGTTCTCCTTCTACAAGCACAGAATCATTCTGTATTTATAACTGCAGTTAAATGTCTTGGGGTACCCAAAGTGAGATACTGTGAGGGCAAACAAAACAGTTGAGTAGCAGCTATAATAAGTCTCACTCAAGAAGGCAAGAAATTGCCTCTCACCTGTGTAAATCACTAAGCATGTCAGGGAGCTAATCAGCTCCAGGCCCAGGACTCCCAGTATAAGATACAGGTACACTTTACTGCGATCAGGAAAGGAATGCTGCACTGACAGAATCAAAAGCAGGGCTGCATTACCTAGAAAACAAATGTTATATATTTTACAGGTGTAACAATTTCATTAGCTGTTGAAAATAACTTAGAACTCTCATATCCCCAGTGTCTGCATTAGGCTGCAACATTTCAGTAATGCTCTTCCATTTCATACCATACTTGCCTCTTCAGCTAATTTCCTTAACACAAGTAATGCAAGCTTACAACTGCTGGCAGTAAAATGAGTTTCATTTCAGCATTTGACTGTAATGGTAGAGAATTATGAGTTTTCTCATAGATTTTTCTGACTTAAACAAGAGTGGAAGAAATGCACTAGAAATACCTAATATACATGTGTGAGCTTAAACAGTTTCTAGCCTCGTTGCTGCCACCCATCCCCAAAACAGCTGGGAGACTATTAATTTCTTTCAATTCTTAAGAGGTCACATCAGTCAATTCAAAATGAGAGGGTGTTTTCCTTCAAGTGGTGGATTTGAGCGTATTTCAATGAGGCTAGCAGAGCAAAAAGCCCAGATATCTTCCTTTCACAGGGAGATACTTGCATAGGCTTCCACTTGCCTAGCTATTATTTTCATACTTGCAAGTTACTGAAAGTTTAACTGAAATGAGCACAATTAGTCAAGGAGAGCAAGTGTTGAGTTACAGACCTAACAAACACTCTTAATTCTTTACACACCCTCTTCTTTGATACAGAGTGTGAAATGTTCTTTTCTTTCCTGTAGAAATGCTATAACCAGTGTCTGGATAAAGCACTAAGAGTATTAAGAACATTAATGTCGCTAGCAAACTGTACCGTACCCTTTCATACTGCATTAGGCAACTGAACTGTCAGGATGGAAGTGGTATCAGCAGCAATTAGCATGGCAGGGAGTTCGCAGTAACAGAGCTAACCACCTTCTGAACTACAGACAGCAAAAGTCTACAGCACACAAGTGATTGCACCTGAACATTTACACATGCCCAGAGTTTGTCTGGTAAGGGAGAAGTGGGCTCCATCTAAGGCTGGAGACAGGGCCAAGTACTCCAGATTACATTGCAGTAGGCAGAAATAGCCCTTTTACTCTCTTCTGAAACATCCTTAAGCCTGCTGTAGCCCAATTTTGTCACTGCACTCCAAACACATCTTTATCATCAGAGCTCTATCTAGTGGTCAGAGCCTGAAGTTTTGCACATTGAAACTGACTAGCTCTTTTAGTGACTGGGTGGAAAGCAAGCTAGGGTTTTACATAAAGCAGGATCATTTAACTTATCAGTTCTGGTGGAAAAAAAAATATTCTACTCCAGTTATTCAGATTTACAGAAGGGAGGTGGGATTATAAGAAGCAAGAATACTGTAAAAGCCAGCGCTGTTCCCTTTTCCACTGCTATTTCTGTGTGAAAAATCCCCTAGATGGATTTTAGATTTGTTGAAGTAGTTTCTGTTAGAAAAGTTACATCAGCTAATTGTACCAATACTTCTCTCAGCTTTACTGGACAGTGATGCAACTTAGAATATATAGAGTTAAACCACTCCCATATACCACCCTTTGTCCATAGAAAGTAGAAAAAGGCAGTTAGAAGTAGAGCTGAATGTTACACATAGCCCCACTGAAGATCAGAAAATTGCTTATTTTACTGATTTCAGGCAGCTGTTGAGCAACAGGCAATTCATCTGTTTCTACACGAATTGCTGAGTTTGAAAAGAGTAGAGTAGCACACTTCCTGGAAGGACTAGCAGTTTTGCCACATACCTAACTAGACAAATGAATATGCAAACTGAGATCATTAGCAGTCAAACACAGACCTTGCTGGCTGAATGTTTTATGGCTGAAGACTAGATGCGAATGACTAGATCTTTTACTCAACCTCAGACTTGTGGGTATTTTTCCACTACAAAGAGTTCTTTACAACATGCATCTGGCAGGCCAGAAAGGTCAGTCAGGAGGTCCATCTGACTAAAACAAGTATTATTTATAAATGCTTATAGGCAGGTTTTTAAAAGTTCATAATACATAATATACTTTTATATATAAAATGTTCAGTCTTTTATTGTGTCATAATTTAAAGCTTTAGAAGAAAAAAACCAGGAAAATTAGTTCACGTCACCTGTGGAGTGAATCAGCAGTGGAAGCCTTTTTAGATGTCTTGTTGATCGGTATATTGAGAAGTAACCTCTGCTTCTGACTTTACTGTGGTGGTGCTGGATGTATCGTTCAAAAAAAACATGCAGAATCCACAGAATTACTTTTGCAATGACTATGACAGTCTGCACTTTAAGTGGGTGAGTATAGTTTCCAGGACACTTATCCTGATTTGGATTGGGATAAGAACAAAACATAGCTGCTAAAAATGCTAGAACAACAAAAGCAACCTGGAAGAGAAAGGAAGAGAGAAAAACTCTTAAAGTCAACATCTAACTATGAAAAAAAACCCCAAACAGGCTTATGTAATTTATTCATTATGCATTATTTTCTGAATTGATTGCATTAGAGTTGAGATAATGTATAAAACATTAGACACTTACTACAACCACTACATGTCATTCTGGGAACATGCTGATGACCAAAATTGCCAAGTAGTAAGATTGTCTTCCAGTCTCCAGAACAGAGCTGAGGATCACCACTCTTCCCAGAATTTCCTCTAAATCAATTTCACTGTTCCCCGAGTCTCCCCTTCATTGTGAATTTATCCTATTTCTGGACCCTCTTTTACTATGTCTTTTTTACTTTGAGGGGAACTTTATACTCCCTCAAGAAAAAAAGGAATCTCATCTTTTTAGACTCATTCAATTACACTTGTTACTGCTCTGCAGGACAGCCTCATAGCTCATTGGTACAGTACATGTTTCTTTAAACTGACAATTTGTAAGTGAAAATCAACCCTTTACTATATCCATTGAAGATGATCTCCAGGTTGTGACATTAGAAAAGAGTGAAACATCATCATAGTAACTTAAGTGAATTATTAACACTGGGTAGGCATCTTTGACAGTTGGTAATCATTCTTTAGTATATTTACTATCAGATTTTTCCATTTTGCTCAGCACTTATGACAGAATGACCAAACTATAGTCAGATTCTATATACACTTATCCTTTCAGACTAGTGCCATTATGCCATAACTTTTCCTGTCTTCTACACTTTTCTCCAAGTTTTCAGCATCAGCAGTGATCATCAGCAATCTTTTGGTCAACTAAAAGGTAGAGTCTTGGGTGCACATTATCTGGAGTATATCTATACACACAGGGCTTTTTTAAATCTTTATAGAATGTTTTTGTCATAGAAAATACTCTCTACTGTTTTCATTCAGTGAACAAGAATATGATACTTTCTCATCCTGGTTCATTCTACGGAATAGGAATATTTTAAAGCAGAACTGAAAACAAAAACAACTCTCACCAATATAGAAGTAAATTGAGAGCTTCTATATACAATAACAACAAAAAAATAATTTGCCTGAATAATTAGACAAAATTATTTGTCTAATACCTCTCATACACTTAGGTTAAAAGGAGTGCCCAATGTTCTGCATCTCATAACTGATAGAAATAACATATCAGAACTGAAGATGGAGGAAAGTGTATGATTTCCATTTGCTAGCTTTGTTTCCATACTTAATTCTTTGCATATCTAAGAGCCTACCACCCCCTTTCCACTCCCTTGAACTTATTTTTCTTATTTTTGTCATTTCTCAAGCAACTTTCTTCACAGAAATTAACCTTTCAGAACCACTTAATTACTCTTGATAGGAGCTGCCCTTCACTTGCTGTGGTTGTGAATAGAGTTAGGTAACTGAGGAGGGAGGAAGACAGGGGAAGAATTTTCACACAATTGTCAATACCTAAAAGAGACATTACAGAGGACAGACAGGGTAGAAAGTGGGAGGGAAAAAAAAGAAAAGTGTGTCCCCTATATTATCCATAAGACCATTACTTCAAATGCAAACTAAATTCAAAATATCTTGAGATGGGTTACGTAGCTAGATTAAGTTAAATAAGAGGGAGGTTTATTAACAAAACATTCATTTAATGTATTATTTTTACCACCACCTTTTCTTAGAAAGCTAAGAATAACCCATATTTTATCCGGTCCATTTACTGTTTGGATTGCCATTTTAAAACAGTAACGCATCTAGTTCTACTCCCTCCAGGTGTTAGGAATGTATTTCAGTACAGAAAATGGCTATATTAAACTGACACAAGCAGGAGTGACCTAGCACTGCAGCTCTACTAATCTACTACAGCAGCATATACAAGAGGAAACAGGTAGCTGGCATTAAGAGTGGCATCTATTGAAGATGTTTTGCCTGCATTTGAGGGCAGTCCAACAACAGGTGCTTCACCCCAGCACAGGGGATTTTTATATGCAAAAAGTTACTCTTATAAAGAGTAGTATTTAAGTTCAGGTTTGTGTATGTGCATACACAGAGGGGATTAAGGAAAGACAGGGTTAATAAAAGAATTATTTCTAGCCTGTACACTTTACATTGCTCTCCAGTCTCCTTATAGGAGCCAGAAGCCTGCAGAAAAGCAAGGCTTGGCACAAGGAAAGCCACTCAAAACCCAGCCCCACCGTACTAGCATATCCTACCCACACACTCCAGAATTTTATCTAACTAGGCGGCTATTTGCTACCTAACTCCACTTTTTCGCACAGGAGGGTGGAGAATACGTCACATTACATACAAATTACTTTAGAGATGCATTACAACTCTACCCCTTAATACTGTGATAGCTTAACTTCTCCAGGATACTTGCCCCTTTGGCAGGCTGTGCATCAGAAGCTAACCTGGTGTCTCCACGTTCCACAAGGTTTGTGCACATTTGCAGAAGCAGAGGGGAAGGAAATCCATTAAGCTGGTTTTCCCCATCCATCTTTTCAGCGAGAGAGACAGGACCATTTCATGTGGCAATTATAACGCCGTATTTCACCAACAGAAAAGGATACTTCTCCATTTTGCTCCAAGGACCAAGTGGCCACTGCAGCAGGTTCAGCAATAGCAGCAAGACTTTACCTGGAAAAGTGTGTGTTGATAGAGGCCTCAGCAGTTTTCTCTCTCTTCACCTCCCCACACTTCTCTCCATTTGCAGGAGAGGGGAATTGGTGGGGACAGAAAAAGCAGTAGTTTCCTAGGATTTGGGTGACTGACATTTGGCTACATTGGTTATGGTAGTAGATAGCAAGGCCCCAAGGCTAGGCAGAAAAAACATTTACTGCTCTACTACCAATGGCAGTGTCTACCTTCGTAACGCAGACTTCAAGTGCCATCCTAATGGGATGGCCCCAGAGTTGTTCTAGTAGGGGAAGGGAATAAGGCTGGATAGGCAGTTTCCATTGGGAATTTTGGTAGTTTGTTCAGCAGAACAGCAGAAGTCTTTCTGTCAAGTAGACTTAGGACAGAGGGACATTTCTTGATACTACTAAGACCACAAAACAGTTACTTCTAAAATTAGAAGGCTAGGGCACATTGTTTGAACAGCTTTATGCAGCCGCTTAAAGAAACACCTTAGAGGTTGGTATGTGCTTTTCAAATTCTGGCAGAGGCTATGTTTTGCAGAGCATTGGGAGCAGCATTTTTTAACTTGAGATCAAATGAAGCTCTAAAACAGCTAGCAACACATACATACATGTCTTGGGCACTCTCTGGCTTTATACACATACTATCTTCAGGTCAAGATTAGTGGCATTATAGAATCATTTAGGTTGGAAAAGACCCTTAAGATCATCAAGTCAACAGTTCACCTAACACTACCAAGTCGTGGCAGGTACACCTGCCCCCATAAGGACTGAAACTTCTCGATTGCTGCATGGAAAGGGTTAAACTAGAAGCTGCAGTTTGGGGTTCCAGCCACCCAGCCCACATGGCAACTGGAGTCACTACACAGAGTGACACAAGTCACATACCCCAGCTAGCTGAGCCCACCAGGAGCACCTCATCCAACAAAACACCTCCGTCAAGACAAGTCTCTAGACCCCCGACCATATATGACCACAAGCCCCGATCCGACCTAGGGTATAAATGGAGCCCACCAGAAGACCCCTTGGAGCCAGCCTTCCTCAGAGCAGCGGGTCTGCAGTCGCAGACTCTCCCCTTAGATCAGGACACCGTCTAAGGAAACTTCCCGGGATTGAGTGCCTCGCCTTATCAGTGAGTGATATGCGCATTTTGAGTCATCATTCTAAACTTAGATTTGGTTACAGTTTGTGTAGTGATAGTTCCCAACTGACATCCTGAACCTGTAAAGAAGTTGTGTTTGTCACAGTGTTTACAACCCAATATTCCTGTTCAATCTGGCTGTTGTATCTCAGTATCACATAACACTCCTGTTCAATTTGACCATTGCCTTTTGATATCATTAAAGAAAATGTGACTTTCAAAACGTATCACTGTCAGCCTAGTGTTTCTGTGACACAAGTCCACCACTAAACCATGTCCCTAAGCACCATGCAAGTACCCTTTCAGTTAGATCTAAGGATCAGAGCTCTTCACCCCTTGTTTTTCATGTTAGGTTTCCACACGCTAACAAGCAACAATAAGCCTCTTCAGCTTATCAAGGATAAACTCACTAATAGGCAGGGGTCTCTACTTCTGTCTACCAGTGTTCTGGGTTTGTGTGGCAGGGTTTTGGTAGCGGGGGAGGGACTGCAGGGTGGCTCCTGTAGAAGCTGGTAGAAGCTTCCCCGGCTCCCAGTCGGACCCACCTCTGGCCCAGGCCGAGCCCATCAGTGATGGTGGTAGCACCTCTGGGAGAACAGATTTAAGAGGGGAAACCTGCAGTGGGGAGTAGAATGTGACAAAAACACCTATGGAGATACCGAGGTCAGTGATGAAGGAGGGGGAAGCGGTGCACCCAAGGAGGGGCTGCCCCTGCAGCCCATGGTGAGACAGCAGGCTGTGTCCCCCAAGCCCATGGAGGGGAGCAGGGGAGCAGATGCCCACCTGCAGTCCAGGATCACCCCAAAGATGGCCATGACTCCATGGGAAAGCCTGCACTGGAACAGTCTGTACCTGCAGCCCACAGAAAGGACCCACACCAGAGCAGCTTGTGAAGGACTGTCTCCCATGGAAGGGACCGCATGGTGGAGCAGGGGAAGAGTGTGAGGAGTCCTCCCCCTGAGGAGGAAGGAGCAGCAGAGACAAGGTGTGAACTGACCCCAACCCCATTCCCCGTCCCCCTGCACCACTGGAGGGGAGGAGGTAGAGAGAACTGGGAGTGGGGTTGAGCCAGGGAGGAGGGAGGGGAGGGGGGAAGGTGTTTTAAGATTTAGTTTTACTTCATTATCCTTGTTTTGATTTGATTGGTAGTAAATTAAATGGCTTTGCACTGCTTTGTTGCCAGCTGGGCTTAAACCACAACAACCACCCTCAAAAAGGCCTTCATACTGTTAGATACAAGATCTGCCCCTTTATCTGTACTTTTCACCCTTAACCCCCAGAAGTCAGTCAAAGCACAAAGTAACATTTGGATTCCTTTATTTTTCCATCTACTACCATCTGAAACTCCTGAAGCAAGTCCAACTTTACTTGTTTAGTTACCATAAGAAATACCATAAGTCTTCCCTGTGAAATTAAGTCCAGCCTCCAGAAGGCATGGCATCAAAATTATCTTAGCCCTCTACAACTAGTATAAGCACTTCTACAGCAGTAATATTATTTTAAAAGTACATTTCCAACAGCATAGAAGAACTACTATTTCAAAGGCCTTTCTTCCTAACAAGATGTGTCATAGCATGTTAGTGTCAACAAACAATCAGAACAAGAACACAGCAAGTATCATGTAGCCTATCAAAATGCATAGGCAAATAGGACTTCACTGGTTTGGAAGAACAGTGTATGCAAATCTCTGGAGCATTCTGTCCATGTGAACAGTAAGAATTGAGAATAAAGACAGCAAATTTTCATAAGGAAATCATGCTTCTTAAACTTACATGTATTAGCAACAGAAAATTGGCAAGGAGAACTGCTGGGATAGCATGAAATCTTGGCCTCAGCTGGGAATGCAACGTATGAGATGAAATAAGCGGTGCATCCAGTAGAGGATCATCTTCCAAACTCTGTGTTATTTCCAAGGAACCCTGGAACAGAAGGGGAGGGCAAAGAGTAGTAACAGGTAAGCTCTAAAAGTAAAGTACAAAGTTTTAGCAGTTTCCCATTAGCAAATCAAGGTTTGGGGAAAAAAAAAACTAGGTTATCATCTTGAGACAAGCTCTTAAATTCTAGGTAAACTCTCATCACATCTTTATGAGACAACTCAGTCCCTGAAGAATCTGACAGTAATCTACCTCCCAGCATCACACTGAGTCTTCAGGAACTTTAGTCTTTAAAAGGTATCACAAGTATTTGAGCATCAGTCCTGAGAGAGGCCTGAAGTATTAGTACATTTATGTGAAAAGGTGGAAGTAGTAACAATTAAAGCGTCTCTCACATACTTTATACAGGTACTGCAAAAATCATTGTTATTCTTACTTCTGTCCAACTACAGTTAGAGGCAATAACAAAGCTGCAGTGTACCAGTAACAGTTTCAAGTGATTCAGCCACTGACACTACTGAGATCAAAACGCCTGCAGCAGTAGTTCAAACTGAACCCAGACAAGAAAGAAGCAGCAGTTCAGAGGAAAGAAGACACTACCAAGTGCTGGGCAAGACATTCTCTGCTTTCACTAGAGAGCATGGAGCCCTTACTTCTCATGTTGGCACTGAGTATTGGGGCTTTGATTTCACATTCAGTTCAGATGTTTTGGCTATGTAAGTTTCCAGAGGTACCTTTTTTTTTTTTTTTTTTCAATTAAAAGGTAAAACTAAGTATGGGTGGAGGGAAAAACCTTTCCTTGTGGGCAAGAAACTTGCCCCACTGCCGTGCATCTCTGCCTCTTCCAGGCCAGGACACAATCATTCAATGCATCTTAAGCTGAACATACACAGCCCCCATGCTCAAACTGCTCAAGTTTCCCTCTTAGCATGCTATTATGTCCCATGCTATGACTTGCTTTCTTCAAGAGACAAAGAAACTCAAGATTCCCAAAGAAATTTTGACCACTCTTCTCCCGAGTGATACCAACCACAGCCCAGAACAAGACAAGGGCAGACCCCATCCCACTCCAGACTTCTGACTATTCAGAGAGACATGCCAGGATTCACTGGGATATTTACTGTTTTTAAAACAAGGACTTCTCCTCACCATGGCAGAAAGCAGCATAAGCCTCAAGACAAATGAGGCTTGTCATTCTCCTAGACACTAGCACAAGAGAAAGAAGTTTTGAGATTAGACCTACGTTTATACTTCATATTAACCGGGACAATGTAGATTGGCTCCCCTGTGTTACTTCACCTACCGATGGCTGCCTGCAGTGAAGGAACTAGTCATCAAGGGTTATTTCAGTCAGCAATCAGTTTTATTTTAGTACTGTGAATGCCACACTTGCCCAACCATAGAGGAGTGTGAACAGGCCTCCCGCACCTATTTGATACCTTTTAATTAGCCTAGCCTTTGACTGTAAACAACCCTTGCTGAAATACCTGCCTGGTAAGATGACCTTTTACTGTGGACCTAAAGGTTTACAAATGGCATTCCTCTTATGTCACCAACATAAAATCCAGAAGCAAGAGTACAAAGATGCCCTCTGTCCCTCATCCCCCATTTTCAGGGGCCAGGTATAATTTTAAGCTCCCAAAATAAGTGTTCAGGACCAGCACTCCAGCAGCCAAGATACCTTGCCTCATTCTTCCCTATCACAAAATTAATAGGAGAGTTAACAGCTCACACCTCCCAGAAAGACAGTGATCCCCCTTGGGACAATATCCTTTGTCCCATGAGAACAGGTGAACTCGCCACTTCTGCAGTACCATGCCAGATCAGCACACTCCTTCACAGACAGAGCTTTATCAGAACACGTTTGACCACATTACTTACTGCAAGACCAGCTACAATCCATCTCTGCATCCTGGAGTATGGCTAGCGTTAGGAAGCACTGGATGACAACCTCCCTGAGTAGATATTATTGCAGGCAATGTGGGGAGGAGGGGGATTAAAGCAAGAAAGATGATGATGCCATGCAGTCAATGTGGCATTAAGAAAAATCTAGTAAGTGTCCTAATTAGATCAATTCATTTAATTAGGACGAACCAAAACCACAGCTGCCAAAAGCCAGAACGCCTTAAAAAAATAATATATATGTATGGGCCTTTTGTCAGGCACTGCTGTTACCACAGGCATAGGTTGAGGCTTCGGCCTCTTGGCTCCCTGACCCATTTCCAGCATGTGACCACCTCCGCAGCAGCCCAGCACCAGGAGGAGGAGGAGGAAGAGGAGGAGGAGGAGGGCGGGCAGAGCCACAGCCGGCAGCAAGCCTTGCCCGCGCAGGCTTCCAGCTGGGCGGGGGGAGGCGGGAAACACCCGAATAAACAGAAAAAACACCCGCTGCGGCCACGCCAGCGCACAGCCTATAAACCAGAGGCTGCACTTAACAGGATCCGTCTGGGGGCGGGGGGGGGAATAAGCCAGAAGAACTAAACAGGCTACGCGAGCAGCCTCGATTAAGTTAATCTCGATTAAAAGCGACCCCACAGCCACGCTACGCGGGGGAGCTCCCAGCAGGGCTGCGGAGGGGCAGCGCTCCGCCGGGCAGCGCGGGGGGCGGCGGCCGGGCCGGGGAGCGGCCTCCTCACTTCCGAAACGGCCATTTACAGACGCCCGGGCCGGCTGCTCCCCCCGGAAGAAGAAGATAAAGCCTCCAGCGCGTCGTACAGACACCCGCGGGGAGGAGTGGAAGGCAGAGACGAAGAGGAAAGCCAGGCGCTCTCCCAGCCCTGCCCACCGTTAACGGCACCCCCCGGGGGAACCGCCCGCCGCGCAGGCCCGCACTCACGTT